AAGTTTCACCACCTTTTCTTTGTTTGCCTTGTCATTTACTCATCAAGAAGTTTATGTATTTGTTTAAGAGGTCTAAGTACTTTCATTTATTCCTCTGAAAGTTTTGTGCCATTTTTAGCAATAGTACGAACCGTCTCATTTCCCTCTATGCCTTTTTGACCGGGAATCCAGTACATACAAGGTCTGCGGCTGAGTCTGGCTATAGCTTTTTTAATTTCCGTTCCCCGACTTGTTTTTGTAGAATGTGGTGCGTCTTATGACGAAAAAAAAATTTAGAAGGGTTCGAACAGTAACGAAGAAGCAAACAACAAAAATTATTGACAAATTTATTGAAATTTAGCTGCCCATATATTGCTGTTTCGAATATTGTCAAGTTCTCATCATCAGTGATTATAGGAGATATTTAAATTTTTATTTGATTGTTTATAGTCTGCATATAATTTGTTGCACTATCGTTTCGTTTCCTTTACATACACGTATGTGTACATATAACTTATTATGTATAATATATTCTATACCACAATATATAAAAATCACGAAAAACATTCACAATCAAAGATTTTAAAAGAAAATTTTTTTGAAGACGTCTTCGACACTTCAGTCAATGAAAAATGCTCTATTCGTGTTAAGTATCTTCCATATTACTAATTACAAAATAAACTTATAATTATGTATTGCAAACATCTTACCATCACTGGCAAAAAGTTGTCATCATTACATTTAAAGCTTCCTTTAGTACTACCACTTACGTCAACACCTAACTCATTTATCTAACTCTTGGGTGGAGAGCAGACAGAAAAAAGGACCTCAGTAAAAAGTAATTATTGCAAAAAGTACAACCTTAATGAAAATGGCAAAGATTTAAAATAGAAAAAGGTTAAAGTAAAAAGAAGAAAACTATTCTTCTTGTTATTTAGCAATTTTTCACTGTTATTGAAATAGAAAAAGCGTAATACCTTGACACGCTTTGAACGTCTTTTTTCCCAAAAAATCAAGAACAACCGCGTTCTGCTTGCCTCCACATGTTAGTTGACTGTCGCGGTGAGTATGGTTTTTGGTGCAGTTTCCTAGCGGTTGTGAGTTTATCATCGCATACAATCTGGCTATGATGAGATGAAGTGACGTGGCTTTAAAAAGGTAAAAATCATTGCAATGGTGCTTTTGTTGCATTTCAGTAACGGCAACTGAAATTGGGGAATAACAGAAAAAATTTCAGCAAAAAAAATAAAAATAAAAAAATCGACAGAAATGTACAAAATTTTGTTTCACTATTTTTTGCTATTTTTTACCATTTTTTTTTTTGTTTTAGTTAAAGTCGGAAGAGAAAAAATTTTTTTGATTAATTAAATCAGTTTTCATTGTTGGCAATGCTGTTACCGATGTCAAATATAATGAAAGCTGCATAACATCAAGTTGTCATGGCAACCTCAATGCAACAAAGAAAATGTCAATTGGGTGGATGTATTTTAGTATAGTTTTTTATACCGACAATTGATCTTAAATTTAATGGAATGAGATATACATGCAACCAAACTACAAATATTTATATAGAGGTTAATCTTATTTGTGCAGGCTCTCAGAAATATGATTGAGTTAACATTAACATTAGATTGCGAAAGTTTTAAAAACAAAATCTCATACTCCTACCTTCAGAGCGATGTTATAAGGGCAGTCATATGATGAATAGACACGGAAATTTTTCACTCATTCTAGTCCTTTCCATAAAGACACGTTATGCAAGGCGTCAAATCACAACTGTCAATTTCGTGCTGTCACTATTTATTTGATTCTTTTCGGTTGTGCCTTTATATGTAATATAAATATAAATAAATTTATATGTTATATATATATATAATATATTAATATATTTTTATAGAACAAGTAAATTGTTTTTATTTACATTTATTTTATATAAATATTTATGTTTATTTTATAGCTACTATTTTGCATTGTTACTATGTTCCTTAGTAACCGAGCTGGTTACTTGAGATTGTGAATACCACTGTTTAATTTTAAATTATCGAGTTAAGACCATAAAACTAATTCTCAATATTATATGAATCTAATTAAAGTTGCTTTAGTCCTCAAACAAATACCCAATATCTCCCATCTGCTGCATAAAATAATAAACATTTTGGTCAATGCTTTGTGTAAAATATTTAAATGAAATATTTTATTTTTATTTTATTATAAATTTGTAGGTTAGAAAATAATTTAATTAAATGATTGTAATGAACGAATTTCAAATGAAATATTTTTGGTTAATAATATTTTCAATAAATCATAATTATTTGACTCTTTTGGTATGTAAAGTTAAATGTATCTGTGGTTAACAAGTATGAATTTAATTTATAATATAAATCATATCAGTTTTAAATAATTGAAATAAACATTTATTTAAAATGAGTGTTTTGTTTTATACATAACACTTGCTAAGTTTTTAATTGCAATAAATATAATTAAATTCTTGAATTGATTAAGAATTAATACTTACGATTACTTACGATTTTTTTTATATGATAAGATTTAATTTACTTTTTACAAATTCAACTATAAATATATTATTTCAAATGAGAAAACAAAAATTTATATATCAACATTAAATAATTTCTTTATTGCGTCACTTATATCCAATTTTTGCTATATAAAAAGGATTTGCAACACTAGAATATTGTATTCCGGTGTTGTCGTATTTAGTTGTATAGTAAAATATAATGTGTTAAAATATTAATAAATAATATAAAAAGTGATTACTACTTGTATATTAAAGTTTGTATGTATTTATCCAGGATATTTTGTAACAAATTAAGTTGCTTTAGCCAATCGTATAGTTTTGGTTAGATACTCTACTCTTTAATATGGAATTTGAATGCACATCGCGTCAGCTGAGTAGTATATCTTAAATTATAATACAATATATATAACAACATTCTACATATCACTTGTTAAGAATTTTATTTTTGCTCCTTGGCTTTTTGCTATGCTTTAAATGCATAGTGATTGTTTCTATATTGTATTATATTATTAAGTTTTTTTTTTTAATTCCTGAAATTTTTGATTTTTTTTTTTGATAATTTTTGATTTTTTTGCTCTCTTATTCATTTTCGTTATCACCTTCTTGAGGTTCATCACTACCAACATTATCTTCAGCACCAGGATTACCAGTTTCTTCTGTATTTTGCTGTAAATTGTGTTCATCAATTACATCAGTTGCATGTTCAGTACTTAACACTTCGTCACTTTCATCTGACACAATAAATGCATTACTTTCTTTTAACTCTGTTTCAGCATTGCACTCCTTTTTATCTTCTACCTGATCACGCATCTTAATTTCGGCTTCCTTTATATTTAAAATCGGTTCATCTATTTTGTAAACTCTACTTTTAGTAAATATACTTTTTACCGGATGCTCTGTGCTTGGTGGCTGAGCAAAAAAATTATGTGTAGTCACTTCATGTGCATGTTGCTCAAGAAGCCTTAACACTCTCATATTAATATCAGCATCAATCAAGTGAGGTACTACAAATTCGTCCTGACCGCGCTCTGCCTGTCCTTCTTCATCATTTACGTTCTGTAATTCTCCTTGAAGTAGCATTTCTTGCAGATTTCGTTCTTCGTCTGTTATATTGTGGCCATTAGCATCTTCTGGTGAATTTTCTTCTTCGCTTACTAAGTCTAGCTGTGCTTCATATGGTAATTGTTCAGATATTTCATTTGGTTCGTGCGGTCCAACTACTTCAGATTGCGAAATATTGTCTGGTTCCATTTCTGCTCCAATTATTTCTTTATTCTCATCATCACTATTTTTAGTACTCTCAGCATTTGTTGTGATTCTTTCTACCATCTCCAAATCATCTTTATTATCTTCATCACTATCTTTAGCACTCTCAGCATTTACTGTTATTCTTTCTACCATCTCCAAATCATTTTCATTTTCGTCATCACTTTCTTCACTACTCTCAGTATCGGCAGTTATTATTTCCACCTTCTCCGATTCTTCATCATTTTCATCATCACTTTCTTCAGCACTTCCAGCAACTGCTGCTATCATTTCTATCATTTGTAGCATCTCTGATCCATCTACACTGTTTTCCTTTACAATTTCCGAATCATTGGATCCTGAAAGGTGACTTTGTTCTGATCGACCATAAGAAGGTTCACTAACTGTTTGTTGACGGCTTCTATTTACACTCTGCTCTGTGCTAATGGTATGCTCTCCATTGCGGAAGAAGTTAAAATTTGGCGGAAACGGACTTGGTACTGGTACATATGTGCTACGATGTTGAGTGTTCTTACTTCTATCGATTTCGTCAGCTTGTTTTTGTTGACGAATAGAATTAAGTGTTGAATAACCAATCATAAATCTCATAACATGGCTAAATGAACGACTAGTGACAAATTGTACACGTGGTCTGGCAATCGGCTGAAATTCCTCGTAAAGATTTCTAATTTCATTTTCATTCAATCCAACTGTTGGATGAATAGAGCTGGCAACTATTGTAGAATTTAATGTTATAAAATCTTAATCTATCGATGTTATTCTAATATAAAGTACTCGTTTCTTACCTTTTTTGGTGGTCCACTTTTTGCGTATTTTTGATGCTCTACCCATTGTGGTTACTAAGAAAAACTATATTATAAAAGAATAAATAATTAGTAAAACAATCTATTGTCGTTATTAAAAAATAACTCATATTTATATGTATACATTAGTAGAAATCTAAAATATTTTATTATATAAAAATAATTTATAAAATTTGTTTTCCATTTCAGGGTCTACACCCAAGAATTTCTATTAATTAACTCTGAAGTTATTTAAAAGAGGTAAATTTCTATTATTTTTCGTTATAAATGAATTTATTTATGTAAATATTTTAATAATTATAAAATTAATTTATTATTTTATTAATAATAATTTTTAAATAATTTGTTTTATGAAAAAATATTGGTTATGGATAGCATTTTAATTTAATGGATTTGATTTAATCCATTAGTCAAGACTATTTTTCTTTAATTGGTTATGATATTACATTTTATG